ATAATTGAAATCACATCCTACAATCTTTGTAAAGTTACTAACAGAAATATTTGAGTGATTACTTATAAGTACATCAACATCACCTACAAATTTAAAATCACAACACCTTCTCATACAAATGCATCCTTTTCCAACATACACGAGTACGGTTTCTGGGCTTTCATCAGGATGTACCTCAAAATGACAAACATTTTGTTCGGTATCAAGACAAATGTCTTGTGCCTTAATGGTGTTGCTTTCCCAAATAAATCCTTTTTGTTCTCGTGTGATGCAGGCATCCATGTCAATGGTTTGCCATGTGTCTCCGTTTTGTTGAGCCCATACTCTGTGTTCTATTGGATAGAGTGTGGTGCCACGGTGGTTCAACCCCAGTGCCATGATTGGGTATATGGTATATGTCAGAGCATCGTGTATCATTAAAAAAAAAGCGGTTACTTTACTCTCAGTGGGATCATAGGTGAAGTTAACCAAATGCCACCAGGATTGGAATTTCCTTTCAAATTCAATCACATTGTCCCATATGATTTTTTGAATTTTGATAGGAAAGGTTCCTTCCTCACCTTCTCTTATAATTGTGGCTGCCATTGATTGTATCCACAGCTGGGCTTGGATACAACTAAGAGCCAGAGAAGAGTTGTTTTGGGCTGCATCCAGTGCATCTATAATCAACTGATGGTCCTTTTCACCATTTTCTTCCCACTGAGGTAATACATTCGATAGAAGCCATTGGTTTTTCCTAAAGCTAAAAGAGAGGATTGTAGAGGATGCTTCAGTTTGTTTAGATCACCAGTTGTTGTGGCTAGTTTATTTGCAAGCACTTCAGCGTCTATGCTGTTCAAAACTCCTAATCCAGTTCCCAAAATGCCGGTCACATCTCTCTTTGATCATCTCAAAGGGATGAGGGTTCGTCCATGCAACCATGCTGACCATCCTGCATTCAGGGTTCCTGAGAACATAAAAAGAAGGAAACATGCTCGGTCTTATTTGACTGACAGGGTTAGGAGGAAGGTGCGATCCACCGGGAGCTGATTCGGTGTATCTTGCCTGAACAATCTCTAGCTTCCTGGGCACAGAGATTTTTAGGTGTGGTTAGTACCATTGGTACTGTTCCAATTCTGTTACCACCCCATCAATCCCAGTGAGTGCTGCTGCAGGCAGTGGATACTGCCGAACTTTGGTAATTTTAGAGGGAGGTAAGGGTATAGATGTTTCTAATAAACTCAATTTCATTGTGCCCGATTTCCCTCCTTTTCTGGCAAAACTCCACACAGTTCCATCTGGGAGTTTCCATGTTTGCCCACACAGTACGTCAAATCCTAAAATGTTGGTGTATGTGGCACCAATTAGTACCTCTGCTCTGGTTAGCCTTTGTTCCTCTGGTAACCCTAAGGTAACTTTCGCTGTGGGGCATTCTTTTATCACGCCATCAATGCCGGTGAACTTAACGCGGCGTTGGCTGGGTTGTATGCCCAGGGTTTGTGCTGTCTCCTCAGTGATTCCTGACATTTGGGCCCCACTGTCAATAAGAAATTCTACGAATACCTTCTGGGGTCCCACAGGAATGGCAATGGTAGGTTCAGAGGGTTTGTCAGAGAGCCATTGAACCGCTAGTACCCGCCGGGTAGGGTGGCTCACTGCCCTCCCCGGGGGTGGGAGTTTTTTGGCTGGGGTTCTGCAAAATCAAC